GTGTGTGTGCGTGCGTGTGTATGCTGGTGTCTATCTGTAGGCCCTGCTGTGCCGGGGGTACGGCAACATGATTGCGTCCACGCTACCTTCGCTGTCCGAGCTGCTGTCAGAGTCGCTGCTGCCGGAATAAATCCAGAGTCCCGGTAAAACGCCTACGCACACGGCTGCGGACGGGAGGTGTAACACGCCTTGACCGGAGCTCAGGGGAGCCGAGGGGGACTTTGCCGTCAGGCCGGGGACTGTTTGTTGAGCTTCAGCTCCCCCTGCTACTCCTCCTGCCCCATCCTCCTGTTCTGAACAACACAACACACTGTCAGATTCAGGGCTTGTACATGCAGACATCCCAGCATCAGGCTCATTTTTATAAAAGGTCAGAGATAAACATTCAGAGAGCAGGCTTTCTGAGAAAAATCAAATATAACTGTTAGCAGGCATTTTCAATGCTGTAGCCATTCATTTAGTAATTAGTCATTTATTCTGCTAAATTAAAAATGGTTGTATAAACATTTGCGAGCAGGCTGTGCGCTATAAGAGTGCCTGTACACTGAATGAAACAAACTGACGATACATAAAGTTTCCCAAAACAATCTTGCAAGCAGGTTAGAGCTAGCATACGAGATGACTAAAAATGAAATCTGAAACTTCACACCAGCACAGAATAAACATCGTGGACAAAATAAGAACGGACACCTCACCTTGGCTAATACAGAGCCGAACCAGGGAACAACTACCATTCTTCAGTGCTACTGCCCTGTGGGATCTACTGTGAACCGGATCAGCTGCTAGCCCTGACTGTAGACTTTCTTTTCTTAGGTTTTCATTCAATTCAGACAGACCTGCCTAAAATCTGAGTAAACAGCTAAATCTACATCACACTTCCACTTCACAAAGAGGGCTAGTCATCCTTTCCAATTAGAATTCTAGCTCTGCATGTAAAAGAAAAATGCACACTATGTATGCAATCTATGCATCATGCACTCATAAGCAGTGAGCTGTTTCTTTCTGGTCGGACAGTTCTATCATTTAAGAAATTGTCCAAGAGGCGCACAACTTAATGTCTGTCCACTTCAGACAGACATTCCTCTGTATAGGCCTCAGGCTGCAGCCCACCTGTGTGTCTCTCTCCATTTCCTGTCGTTGCTGTTGCTGTCGTCGTGATTTCCACTTTCTGTTTCTTACTGCTGTCTGATGACTGGGAGGAACTGGGTGAGAGAACAGAGAGATGCTCTAATCAACATTTTCCTAATAACAATGGGTGAAATGACTGTTACACAGTGCATGCAGTCTTTAAAACAGCAGGCCAACAATTTAGGAGCTAAAGAGAAAGCTATTTCCGTCAGAAGTTGGTGAGGAGAGAGAAAGGAGAGTGAATATAGGACTTATATTCTACAGATGGACACTAACAAAACTTCAAATGAATGCCAATGTTGCTCGGGGTCTGCTGGGTGTGTAAATAAGCAACTGCTTGCTAAAAGGTTCTCCATGTCAACTTTATATGGTGGTTTCAGTGTTATGTTTACAGCTTGTTCTTCTGCCCCCAAGCCAAATAAAATCAATTAATGCCAGCTTAAAGGATGTGTACCTGCGTCTCTTGACAGCTCCAGCCAATAAATGAGCCTGAGATAGGAGGCTGGTCCTTTGTTCTGCCCCTGAATGTTTAGGTGCTGCCTTCTTTTCAGGCTCTTTGCGGCTTTCGGTGGATGCTTTCTTCACTAGAGCGCTGTGAAAGCACAGGTTAAGGTGAATACACCATAATGGAGCCTTTGAGAGGGAGCAAAGAGTGGGGGCTCAGGGGCAGGTGGAAAGATGCGACACATTCAGCAGCAGTCCATTCAACAAGTTCCATTCTGCGCTCCCTTCAGGGGGAGCCATTTCATCTTCCCGTCAGTGTGCTGGAAAAAGTGACACAGTTCCGACAAGGCTAAGAAAAGTGCTCAGGCAGAGAGAGGTGACACAGATATAGAGTCTAAAAGAGGACCAGGAGATGGACAGAGCTCAGGAGACATGAAATCGGGTCGAGATGCAGAGAGAAGAGGAAAATAGAGCGAGAGAGGCACGGAAAGACAAAGCACACCAGGTATAAGACAAAAGGGACAAGTGGATATGAATCAGCAGTCACAAAGTGGGGCATCAGATATGTGTGAGGTGCAGACGAGCAGTCCTGAGTTTTCACTGCATCAACTAAGGTCTGCACCTGTGTGCGCGTGTACTTTGTGTTTACAGCAGCTGCTTTAAATCGTCACCGTAGTTACCAGCCTATGATACAGTTTCCACGACAACCCATTCTCTTCTTCATCTGCGGATAAATCTGTCTGTCAGAAACCTGTCTGTCCGCAAAGACAAAGAGACGGACAGAGGAACACATGAAAAGCACAGAGAGCAACAAGCAACAAGCAGAAGTACTGGACACGTATTCTAATGAGCACCGTGGACAGGCAACAATCTCATCTGATGTAGTAGGTTTTACTCTGTCCTAAATACGTGAATTCTTCCAAATTGATTATCATATTAATATTATTATTAATCAGATGTAACAATCTTATTTTCATTACAGGGAAATAAGAAACAATAGACAACTTTAAACTGGGTCTAAACAGAAATGGAAAAGACAAAAGAACACATAATGCACCTTCTACTCTCACTAGACGTTGTACGGTGCGGACATGCTGCATGTGCTGTAATGCAGTGAAGAAAGTAAGAGCACAGTCTGGACGACCACGAGCTTCTTACAAAATATTCGTATTCTTCTTTCATGGGTTAAAAACTGAGGTTAAGTCATGCAGCGATATGATGCAGATGGGATTTGGCAAATGATGTGTTCATTGATTGCACCCACTCATATCTGATTTCTCCAGTTGGAGAAACAGTTGGCCAATCAGAGCTTAGTAGGCAGGATTAAGAATGGGGATGTCATCTTCCTACATATAGCTACACTGATGAATCGGCCAAGCACCTGTATCGGTTGATATTAAATAATCATTACAGAAATGCCACGCTAGACTGGGGGTCATTTAGAGACAGACGGAGAGCACATTTTTTACCTGTAAAATGTCCTGCTGAGTACACATGAGTATGTGTGTAATCCTCTCTGAAGTATAAAAATAACAACAAACGAAAAAAAAATCTTTCTTCTATAAACATCTATCACATATATGATATTTAGAATATTATGGTTATTTTTTGTTTTGGGGCAATACGAGTGGCACCTGTTGTGTCAGCAAACGTGACAAACATGTCAGCACTCATCTGAGTTAAGTACATTGATACCATTCAGACAAAGGGCAAGAGTATGATATATTTAGTATTAGGGCATTTACATAAATGTATATTATATTATTCATAGAACGTCAAAAGGTTTGCATTTCATCAGGCATTTAAAAAAACACATGGTGGCGTTTATTAGATACCTGGATGTGTCTGATAAACACTTGGTGGTGTTTGATAATGATCGACCAAACAGTAAAGAAGAAGGGCACGCCACACGCTGTTTTTTGGAGGAGCCTAAAGAAAATCCCAAGTACGCCCTTGGGTGTTATTTTATTATACATTTGTTATTTATTTGTTCATTCATATGATTGTATGTTCCAATACTATGTGAAGTTGAGTGTAGTTATCTCAGCCATCTAACAGGTAAAGGCTGTGCTATATACTGTCAATGGGCTGCTCATTCGGTCTTGTTGACTGCAAGAAGCCAGCTTTCCTGCTGTTTCCGCCACATTCCTGAGGGTGGCAGCAGAGAACCATTAAAATTAAATGAATTATTTCTTTCTTTTCTATTGTAAGGGATCCATCCAAGTGTGTAGATACTGATATTATATATATTGTATTAATGTGAAAGGTACACAGTCATTTTAATTTATTTAAATGTATTTGTAGGTTTATTTTTGTTTATTTTGTCACTGTATGAGCACAATGTGAAGACTACAGTATTGAGTTTTTCAAGCCAGAGGAGGGCTTACTGTAAACTGGAAGAGGTAAAACAATATAACTATGGCACAGGGGTCACAAGCAGTTCAGGAGGATGAACAGATGGATCACAGCTTTGCTCCCACCACAGCATGAAAATCCTACTGCTGCTGCTATTGTTACTATTACTTCTTCATAATATTAAACTAAACAAATACAATACAATACATTTAAATAACTGTTCATTTTACAATAACATCAATATCTACAGTTAATGGAGTCCTTACTATAAAGGGAATAATTAGTTTTTGACAAGGGAATAATTAATTTTCTAAATGGTCCTCTGCTGCCACCCTCAGAAATGTTACAGTAACAGCAGGCAAATTGGTTTACTGCGGTCCTTCGAGTATTAACTGGCTGATAAAACTCCACTCACCTTCACATAGTATTTGAACATACAACCATATGAATGAACAAATAAATAAATAAGAACTATTGATTAAAATAACAGCGTAACTTTAGGCTGCAACAAACAGCAAAAGAGATCCATGCTTGAGTAGTGTGGTCTGCCCTTACTGACAGCGCGATTATAGTTCAAATGTATTGGCTGTGGGAGCCACAGGGTGGAGATCATTATCAAACACCAGCAGGAGTTTAATAAATGCAACCAGGTGTTTATAAACGCCTAGTGGTGTCAAGTGTGGTTTACTCACGTATTTAGGCAAATAATCACAGAGCAATTCTGGTTAATTAATAAGTTAATTAACATACAAACAAACATGCTATAAAAGGATATTCTGTATTCCAACAGTTCCTGCTTCTCCTCATCCCTGCGTTGCTTCTCCACCAGGCACTGTTGCCGGGAGACCTCGTCCAGGAAGCTACTCTCATCCTCGTCCAATCCTCTCACCATGTTCCCTGTCACCATGGAAACAAACATGCTCTCAACACATGGCAGCAGAGTGATGGCATTTTTCAGAAAACAAATCCTGAGAGTTTATTTCAAATCCACACGCAGGCGACCTTCGTGGAAAAGAAACCCCAGAAACTAAAGACAGTAAGGCTTCATGACACTTAGTGTGTAGTTTGAACACGGACACTATCAGACAATTGTCTTAGGATTGCTTCAACGGAATGACTGTGAATTTGTTCCCAATTATTCTCTGTAAAATAACGTAGAATAAGAAATGACTGCCAGTGACATGCAGAAAAAAAAAACAGAATAACTTTTGAACAGGACTGGAAAGAAAACTTTGTGTCTACAAATATTTGTTGATTATACCAGATAGTTTCTATTTTTACTGTTTCACTGTGTGTGTGTGTGTTGGTGCCAGGGGTACGGCAACAGGATTATGTCCACGCTCCTGTGGCTGTCGGAGCAAACCCAGAGTCCTGGCAAAACGCCAACGCACGCGGCTGCTGACGGCAGGTGTTTGTGTATGTGGGTTACATACATATGTGTATATATATATACACATATGTGTATATAATACACATATATATCACATATGTGTAGGGTTATATATATATACACATATATATATATAATATATACACATATATTATACAACTATTATTATATACACATATATATATATATATATATGTATATATTACACATATACATATTATATTAAATATTATATGTATATAATATACACATACACACAACATATGTGTTACTATATAATATATATATATATATATATAATATATATATATATACACACACACACACATATATGTGTATATATATATATATTATTATATATATATATATACACACATATGTGTATATATATAATATATAATATATATATAAGTATATATATTATATATATATATATATATATATTATACACACACATTATGTGTATTATATTATATATTATATATATATATATATTATATATATATAATATATATTAATTATTATATATATTATTAACACATTATGGTGGGTGTATATATATATATATTTAATTAATATATACCACACATATGTGTACTATTATAATATATATATATATTATCTATATATATATATAATAAATATATATATATATATATATATATTTTAATTATATATATCATTACACATCAACATATATTATATTTAATATATATACTACAACATATTGTGTATATATATATTATATAGTAAATATATATGTGTATTATTATATTATGTATAATATATATATTAATTAATATAATAACCATATATCCCATATTGTGTATATATTATATTATTATAATACACATACACACATATGTGTATCTAATATATAAATATATGTGTAATATATATTATATTAATAATATATATAATTAATATATATATACACATACAGTATGTATGTATCACCCATACATAATACAACCTGCCGTCAGGCTAGCCGCGAATGCTAGTTGGCGTCTTTGCCAGGACTCTGAGGGTTTGCTTCCGACAGCCACAGGAGCTGTGGACATTAAATCCATTTGCACTACCCCTGGCACCAGCACACACAACACACCACACATCAATATATATAACATCAATATATGTTGTAGTATATTAATATATATCATTATATATATTATATATATTATTTATATATATATATATTATACTATAAGACCATGTGATGGGTGTGTGTATATATTAAATATATTCAGAGTGTACTAGATGGCTTATTCCACTTAATCAGGAGTACACAGAATATAAGAAACATTTTAATCGTAACCGTCGTGTTAGTGCAGAACCTAAGGATGTGCTGACTAGTTGGAACATTAATGCTCATGTGTTAGTTTTCACATTATAACACGTACTTAATGGGTTCCGTTAGAGAACGATAAAACCTCGTCGTGATGGATGATCTTATATAACACATGACAAAAGGCACTGGCTCTCTGTCAAGTGGTTCATAAACCATAAGATAAAGTGATAGTCAGATATGGTGGGAGCTAACCCAGTTCCTATATTAGTGACAGACAGAAAAAGAACTCATCTGAATTTGAATAAGCTCTCATAGTCCTCTTGTTTCTAATGTCCTTCTGGCTCCTGCAGGCGCTCAAAGAGGGAGGGGTCATACTCCTCCTCTGGGGTCCTAACCTGAGGGGGAGTACACATTTGTCAATATCCGTGTAAGTACACACAGCTGTATTCTGCTCTAAGATGTTTTAGTGCGTTTTTATAGGTTACCGTGAATAAAGAAGTTGTCGTATGCTCTTACGCTCTGGGTCGTCGGGCTTCCTGACTTCTCCCCTTCCTCCTGAACCCTCTTCTTCCTCTGCTCATCAAGCTCAGCTCCGTACACAAACTTCCTGCTGAGGTCAACTCTGTAGACCTCCCTGCCATTACAACTTAACTCATCAACTACACAAACACATCGACACACCTTACTTTGGATATCAGTCCCAAATAAATTTGTTTTTTACTTAAGAGTGCTGTTGGCACCTTGATATCTACTCCAAGGTGAAGATAGTCATATAAAATGTAGTATCACTGGTTTAGTCCTCTGGGCACTCACGTCCCATAATCATGATGTATATATATGGTTAGTCACGAATAAAACCTTAAATCCATTTTATACTCAGCCGGTTGATCCTTCTACTTAACACCACTAAGTCGCAACGCTAGAACAGTAAGACAGGACCTAACAGAATATAGCAACCTGGGACACAATAATAATGGTGTACAGTCTCTAGGGACAGAACAGAAATGCTTCTCTTACAAATGAAAATTTTGTAAATATGTATGCCTGATAGGAATCTTATTTTATTAGTGACGTGCTTATAAAATATTTGTGTATGAAAAAGTGAGTGGCACAGCACATTACTCTCACGAAACCTATCATATATATGTCGTATATATACACATATGTGTTATAGGTCGCTGATTTACTGGCTAGATAGTACAGCGATTATACTTAATAATCAGATGGGATGATAGGTGAAACCCCAACTACATACATAAACATTCCTGCCGTCAGCAGCCGCGTATATATTTCATTGTAACTCTGCGTTGGATGTGCTGCCAAGTGCA